CGGCGCCAATGAAGGTGATCTCAACTTGATGATCTCTTTGTTTCACTGGAATCGCACTAGCAGTAGCCGCATAGGCAACAAAGAGACTGAAGATTGTAGAGGCCTTCATTTTCGGACAAAAGATAATTGGAAGATTCAAGATTGTTGAGTGGGTAGTTAGTAGATTGTTCTAGCTGTGTTCACACAGATGAGCAATGAGATACCGAAGCGCTTTATATACCTTTTGCTCTATACCTACTAGACCTCCAAGACAAGCCTGTAGCATGATAATAACACTGGTTTCTAATATTAGATGATATGTGTATTCTTTTCCACGGTAGATCGGATAGTGGCGTTAGGATGTCTACCATCTAGGGCATAGCCATTATGTCGGTATATGGAGAGAACCTTGAAATGGAACACCCCAGATGACTGTTTCAGATGATCCAAGGTCCTCATTTTTATTCTCGTATAACTACTAGAGTGCAGTTGAAGTCCAGGTATACAAGTTGCGAGTTATTTGCATATACTCGATGATTCATGCTGATTTACTTAATTACTATATACTATGTAGTTATTCAGACATGTCCTTCGAATTATTGAAAGACAGTCAATAAAAGACACAGTCAAGGCGTCATCTATACTATATAATGACCAGTTCCTGGTCCGGGAGACCCTGTGACCACCCACCCCATCCCCGGATTTTTGGATTCTCAAACATCCACCTGATTGTGTCTCAGAATTGTAAGCACTTCATGTCTTTTTTTAGTTGTGTTCTTCGCGGTTTGGCAATTTCCGCCCGGGGCAATGAGATTTAAGTTGGGTATGTCATTAACCCTTCTTTACCTTCGTATTTTTGCTGTTTTCTGGGTTCAATGTGCTATATATAACCTCACCCAACCTTATGCGGAGTTACGCTTGCCACTGATCCATGCTACTCTTATTTTTTGACTACTATGCTTATGTCTACAACATATAAGAGGTAGAAGTTGGAGACAACAAATATTCAACCAACCCCACACTCCAATCTACCAATCACGACACTCTGTCCAGCTTATCAAGAATCCAATACGCGCTAAACCCTTTCGAGGAAAAGATGCGCCGTGTGACCAACTGGCCAATCAGATCTCCATCAGCGCGAAAGATTTACCCAAAAGGGAAACCAAGGGGGGCTCGTGCGAATATAAATGCATGGCGATACCCATCTTTGCAGAAAATATCCTCCCTTGAACATTATCAAGAATGGCGAGCCTTCACCCTTTTGACCCAATCACACCAGGGGAGATCCAGTTGGCGGTCTCTGTCCTGGAATCAGCTTTCCCCGGTGTCAAGCTGCGCTACAAACGCATCGATCTCCAAGAACCCGCCAAGAATGAGGTTGTCCCATTCCTCGAGGCTGAGCGCCGAGGTGAAGTGCGCCCGCTTAAGCCAGCACGTTTGCTGATGGTGCTCTTCCACCGATTGGACAATGGGTCTTTCTTCAAGGCTCTGATCAACGCAGACACCAAGTCCATCGTGTCAGCGAAAGAGCTGCCCAAGGACATCCAGGGTCCACTGGACATTGACGAAATGATGGAAATCGAAGAGCTCTGTCTCAGCCATCCAGCTGTCAAGGCTGAGATTGAAAAGTTGAAGCTTCCGGCTGGCCACACCGTCTGCTTGGATCCGTGGATCTATGGCACCGAGGATGCCAACGAGACTCGGCGCTTGTTCCAGTGCTACATGTACATTGTGGCCACCGACCACCCTCAGAACAACCAGTATTCGCTGCCGTGCAAATTTTCTCCGGTGTTTGATGGTATCACTCGCAAATTGGTCCGTATCGATTATCTGCCAGGCGGAGCCGATACTCAAAGCACAGAGACGCAGCCCTGGAAGCAGGTGCCTACTGTGCAATACGCGCATGACTTGCTGGATGAGCCTCTGCGCACCGATCTGAAGCCCTACATTGTTCAGCAACCAGAGGGGGCGTCCTTCAATGTTGTTGGGAATGCCGTGTCATGGCAAAAGTGGCGTTTCAGGGTGGGCTTCAATAACCGAGAGGGTTTGGTGCTGCACAATGTGACATATGATGGTCGCAACACCTTCTACCGTCTGTCCTTCTCTGAGATGACAGTCCCCTACGCCGGTATGTTCTAATACTCTCCTTGTATTAGCCCATCTAATTTATTCTAGATCCCCGTGCCCCCTACCACCGAAAGCAAGCCTTTGACGTCGGTGACGTCGGCTTCGGTATCACGGCTAACCAACTGAGCCTCGGCTGTGACTGTCTCGGTCACATCAAGTATTTCGATGGATACCGCACGGATGCCCAAGGAGCACCGGTTCAACTGAAGAATGTCATCTGCATGCACGAGCAGGATAATGGCTTACAACACAAACATACCAATTACCGCACTGGTGCAGCGACTGTCGTCCGTAACCGCCAGCTTGTGGTTCAGATGATCTGCACCGTTGCGAACTACGAATACATCTTCGCTTTCATCCTCGACCAAGCAGCCAATATTGAGCTCGAGGTGCGTGCAACCGGTATTCTCTCGACGGTGGCCTTCGAAAATGAGAATGGCCAAACCGTGCCATGGGGCACGAACGTCGGACCAGGCGTTATGGCCCCCTTCCACCAACACATGTTCTCCCTCCGCATCGACCCTGCTATAGACGGCTATCAAAACACGGTTTACTACGAAGACAGCGTGCCCATGCCCGATGATGATAAGAACCCATGGCTCGTCGGGTACACCACAGAACAGAACGTTATTAAGACCAGCGGCAGTGCCTCAACCAGCGTTGACCGCCATCGCGTCTTCAAGATTCGGAACGACTCTATCATCAACCCCATCACCCACCACCCCATCGCATACAAGCTGCAAACCATGCCAAGTCAGATGCTTCTCGCACACCCGAACTCATTTGGCTCGAAGCGCGCCCGCTTCGCGACCCGTCCTATCTGGGTTACTAAATACCAAGACGACGAGCTGTTCGCCGCCGGCGAGTTTACAAACCAGAGCAAGAAGTCGGAAGGCGTGGAAGTGTGGGCTGGACGGAATGATGCAGTCGAAAACGAAGACCTTGTTCTCTGGCACAGTATGAAATCCCATCTAACATTTCCTGAAATGGCAGCTAACTGTTCCCAGCATTCGGTCTCACTCACAACCCCCGTATCGAGGACTTCCCTGTTATGCCCATGGAGCGTGTCAGTGTGATGCTCAAGCCGGATGGTTTCTTCACTAAGAATCCTGCACTGGATGTGCCGGCTTCGAATCAGTCTTTCAACCAGTCGACTTTGCATCCCGAGCCGGCGTGCTGTGCGGGTTCTCAGGAACGGGGACAGGTCAAGTTGTAGATAATATATGATAGAGGGTGCGACCTCTGTAAATAAATGCCCCCGCATAGAAGCGAATATAACGAATTTATTCCAATCCAATGCACGCTTCGCAGTATTTTGTAGTGTCCTTCTTTGTGGTGTCGCTTGTCGCTGCCGCTCATCCGCAATATAGACTATCTGGTGAGGTCAACCGGGCTCAAAGCAACGATATCCATTCCTGAACATGCCTGTCTTTAAGGTGTTAGTCGAAGTAGGAAGGTCCTATGTAGGTCCTGCCTTTTGTCTTGCATACAGTACACCGAAATTCTTCAAGGACAGCAGAGCTAAGGTCACTAGAAGCCATTGGGCTGGGGAATTGTAGTCCATGGCTGGGTGAGAATGGCTGTCGGATTGTATATCCACCTTTTGCAGGACGACTTCAAGCTGAGATTTCAAATTTAGTATTTGAGCGTGCTACAACGAAGATATGGTGTGAAACCAATCAGCGAGTTGTTGCATCTGAATTAAACCATCCACAATCCTGTCCAACTCCGAAGTAACACTGACATATAATTAGCTTATTTGCCCCACGAAGCTAGGACCGGGTTGGTTATTCCTCGATTATTAGTATGGTTAATTGTAGGTTTTGACACGATACGACGAGGTAGGTGCCCAATAGACGCCTACGTATTCATCCAACAGGGTAGTTTGTAATATTTCGGAGGCTCCTCATAACGATTAAAAGACAGCATGGCTAAAACCGAGCGCTTGAATAGATCGACGTCACCGGACTGGCCCGCAACGAGACAGTCAATCCCCCAGTATCCATATGGAAGCAAGGTAGCACTAGTAAAGCAAGCAACGACCGAAAGGAATATCTAGCGCCCATCCAGGATAGAAAGCTTCTCGACCCACTCGTTCGCCGAAACAACATCTGTCCTATGTGCAAAGACCTTCTCCATCAGCACTCGGTGCAGCTCCTCATCACGATCCATGCAACAATCCTCCAAGACCGTAACGCGGTAGTCCATATCCATTGCCTGTCGAACAGTCGACAGCACAGCTCCACTGGTGATTAAGCCCGCGACAACGAGGGACTTCGCATCTGCGCAGCGCAAAAGCATATCGAGTTCCGTAGCGAAGAAGGCCGAGATGCGACGCTTGGTGAGGATCACTTCTCCAGCCACAGGGGAGATAGTTGGGTGAACTTGCACCGACGATTGGCCTTCGATATATTCACAGCGTGCGGCGACAGAGGAGATAGAGGTGTTGTCTACGTTCTTTTCTGGATAGCCGGGGCGGAAGGCAGTGACAACGTAGATAATTTTCAGGTTGGCCTTACGTGCAAAAGCGACAGTTGACGCCAGGCGTTCGAGGTAGGGCTCTGTGTTGTCGAGGCGGTCAATTATCCCGTTTTGGACATCGAGGATGAGGAGGACGGTTGCCATGGCTGGCTATTGATGTGTGGAGTTGGAAGATATTGGAAAGGTAGAGATTGAACAAAGATGAGTTTAGATTTAAAAGAGAAAATTCAAGAGAAAGTTGATATGGAAAGGAGATGAAGGTGTTGTTGTTGTTGGAAAGCGGTTCCGGTATTATGAGATCCCGGTACCGGCATGACCATGGATTTTTATACAAAAAAAGAAAAAGTTAACGATCGCTCACACTCACAATGTTGTTGAATACATGCTTTGGGATACCAAGAAGTGAAGGTATATCAGTCGAGTCTCCGTCTCTTAACCGCAAACTGTGTCAAGAGCTCAACCCTTTCTTTCAGACGAGCATTCTCTTTCTCTAGATCCCCGCGATCCAGGATTAAGTCGTCTCGATACCTCTTTTGTGTTTTAGGCGACCCTTCTATGAATTTATCCAAGATGTCTCGATGTTTCTTGGACGACATGACCGAATCAGATGAGTGTGCCCCTGGAGTGGCCCGAGAAGAGTTTGACAACCTAGGGGTCCGGCATGGTGTGATGGGCTGGTGATTGTGTAAAGCCTCAGGCTCACTGTCGGATTGACTTCCCTCCGAATCAGAGCTGTCGTCTCCCTCTGGGCTCTCTTGTGATTGTCGTGGTGAAGGAGGTGAATACTCGGGGGTGGAGTGTCGGCTCATTTCCTCCGTGGATGGGATGACGGGTAAAGGAACACTTGTTCGAGGTGTGGCCCGCGTTCTCGAGATTGTCGAAAAAGTATCATCCGAGTAGAGACGGCTATCGAGAATGGAGGCTCTATCCTCAGGCGCGGCCGTAGCTCGATTCCCTTGGAGGCAGTTGCGAAGACGGAATTCATCTAGCGGCACAAGGCAGCTTTGACGCCAAAAATCTGCAGCTTCTTCTGCTCGCTTAGAGGAAGCTACCTCTCCATTGATCCATGATGCAAACTCCTCCACGTCCAGTGTGATGGCGTTCTCATTGTTATCGGAGAATCTCTTTCTCATATACTCGGTATAGCTCTTTTGCATCGGCCCAAAAGCGATGTTTTCGATTGGGTTAAAGAACTGTTGATCGTTCTGGGGAAAAGAAAGACAAGCGATCCTGTTTTCCCAGCAGCACTTTTCGAACTCCGGGAAGACTATGCGAAATCGATGGGAAATCAGCAGAATTCTCCATGCGTCACGCCGACCTCTGGGTCGGGTCTCTGACTGGAAGACGGTCTTCAGCCAGTCAAGTGCATGATTCGCCTCGGCCCAGCCCGACTGAGTGAAAGACACCTTGATTCGACCAAAGTTCTTGGTCTGCGGTGGATCTTGGCTTCTGCAGACAATGTACGGGGGCAGGTGCTTTCCTCGTGTTGAGCAGCAATGCATAACAGATGAGAATGCCCGTTCTTCTCTCTTGTGGTTTTGGTTCGTTGGTCGAACGAACATAAGGCTTGCCTTTCGATACATGGTGGTAACAAATGCGGCATCTTCCATAGCATAGATATTGTCGTTGGAAACCTGGAATCGCTGCTTGATATCTTTAAATGCTTGAAAGAACTTCCAGGCTCTGCGATCTTCATGTGGACCTTTCAGTCTCCGTGTGTTTCGCTCTTTGGCTATGTAACCAGCAAGTTCTTGATGACGCATTCAGAACGCCTTCTGCCAACCGACGTTGAGGTTGGGTCTGTAGGTCGTGTAGTCGTGGAGATATGCATTGGCTGTATCCTTTGCCAACATGTTGTTATAAGGAAAGAATCCATGATTCAACCAACGCTCTATCCGCTCAACAACTGCATTTTCGTCCTCGACCGAGAGAGCCGGCGGAGCCACGACACCATACTTCTTTCGCAGATATGCACTAGCAAGGTGTGTGTGGCAAGTGAGATGGAGGCGCCCCAAAAGCAGTGAGCGTACCCTATCTTTTGGTCTGACGACTAAGACGGGGCGGTTGAAAGAGACGCACTGCGAAGTTCAGGCAAGAATTGACCTGAAAGTCTGACGGAGAAAATTTGCACTGGAAGTGAGCTCTAGGGTTGTAAACATTGCCCAAGCCTCCACACTGCTAGCCCAGCAAATTTTCCGGTTCATATTATTAGATTGCTGCATTTCGTATGGCTATTCGAGCTTTTTTTCTTCAAGAAGTGTCAATTTGGGAATAAAGTGGATGATGCTATTCCACTCCAGGCCATAGTGACATATATCCACCGAGTGTGAATATTTTCTTTTAGCTTCTTTTTCTCCCGCGTAATTTTCCCGTTTGGAATTCTGTTGAGGCAGTGCCCAGAGACTGGATAATTTGAAAGTCAGTTCATAAGATAAAATATCATGGCAGGTGTTCAGAGGTCGATTCGTTTTTGAATGGTCGCAGTTTACTACATGGAGATATGAAATTGAAGCAGCTTTTTTAGTACACATGATTCAGGAGGGCAACATGAAAAGAACAGACGTGGAAGGACAAAAATACAAAGAAACAAAAGAAAAATGGAAATAATGATGCGCTGGACGTTCATCTGAACTCCAGAGAACCTCGGTGCAACGACAGAATCTCGTATTCAACGAGTCCGTGATCTTTTGGAAGACGACAATGGCGACGATTGAATGGTCTCCTCGAGCTTCCAGACGCAACTGGCATAGCTCAACGTCATTTCCTCCCGGTACCGTTTCTTCTCGGCGGACGATACCGTTTCGTACCTATCAAAGCACTCTCTAAAATCCGGAAGCGACATCACCGATGGTGGTAGGAAGTTCAATTTGCGGGACGACTTGGGGGTTTTAGGCTGCCTTGGTGTTCGCGACGGCGTGACAGGGACATGAAAATAGGAGCTTTGTTCTTCGCTGCTCGATTGCTCGGACTCGTTCTGTTCCGAATCATGCTCGGTGTCCGAGGAATTTTCAGAGGCTTCTGGTTCTTCTGGGACCTCCTGGGTGGGCGTTCCTCGATGCTGTGGACCTTGCAGCGACCGTCGCGAGGATATCTGCTCTTGGTGAACAATGACAGATATAGGATCGTCGTCTTCTCCAACATTGTTCTCGTCTGGTGAGACATGGCGTCTCCTAGCACGAGTTGGGCTGTTGGGCTCAACGGTTTGAGATCGAATCCGGTCGCCCGTTCGACGTTTGATCAATCGTGTGCGGCTAGGTGGAAGCAAGCAAGTAACAAACCATGCGTTCGTACATTCCGTGCTCCGATCGGGGAATCCGAGTTCACGGTCAATAAAGGTCGCAAATTGGGATGGTGAAATGGTGTATGGACATCTCTGTCGTAATTGTTTCTTCATATGCTCTGCATAGAGCTTATCAAGGGCGTTGAAGATCCCATTTTCAAAGGGGTTGAGATATTCACTGCCTTTTTTTGGAAGACAGAGACAGATGACATTTCTTTCCCAGCACGTCACAAAGAATTCAGGCGTCACGGGAAATTGACTATCAATCAACAGAAGACGTCTTTGGCTTCGGTCTCGTTGACCTCGCTCCCGGCGCCCAAATGGACAGGTTTCCCTCTCAAACACACTATTCAGCCAATCTAGTGCATGCGTCTTTTCAGCCCAGCCACTGCTATTGTACGATATCGTGATTCGGTTTTCGTGCCTTCTGGGCCCTTGAACTTTTGACGTTTTGAAAATGACATATGGCGAGAGCGGTTTGCCGGTGGCTGGGTAACAGTAGATGACAGAGGCAAATGCACGGTTCTCAGACGATCTCCGGCGGCTTATGTTCAAAGGCTGCTTGTCCTTTTGAATTGTGGTGGCATACCCCGTGTCTGAGAGGACATAAATATGCTCATTATTGAGTCGATGGTCTGATCGAAGGGCCGCAAACTGATCTATGAATTCGCAGAGCTTACCATCTTCCACGGCAGGATCTTTGTTTGACGGTTCGCCTTTCTCTGCCGCTCGGGACCTTTTGAATTGTTCGTGAAAGTCCCGATTGCGAGCAAATATCCCACCGTGACGACTGGTACCATTGTCTGAGCCACCATGGTGCTTGAAATAGGCGCTAGCGATTTCTGACACCATGGATTGCTTTTTCAATTGAAATCCGTGGTCCTTCCATCGTTCAACGTAGTCAATGATCGCTTTATCCTCGACAGCTGTAAGACTGTCATTAGATGTCTGCGGCTCAGGAAGTACGCCATTGCCATGTCTGGGCCCCAGTGCTCCGGATCTTCTCCTCATCCTTGCCGCCATGGCGCTGTGCGACATGATTTCTGACCGTATAGTGTGACTCCGGTCCGCCCACGTGCATAACACTCGCTGATCGTCCAATCAAGTCAATGTTAGAATGGCCCAAGGACAGTTCTGCCTGAGGCCGTTGAGTGACTGGGATGTCCGAACAACGGCGAAGAGAAATTGTTCAATGAAGTTGCTGAACACGGATTTCTCACGGGAAGAACATCAAGGCACCGTGGGCGTTCTGGGCAACCCGAAAAATAAATTTGAGCATTGAGAGCGAGCACCGGCTTATAAACACTGACCAGGTCCCACCTTGTTAGCTCAACAAAAAAATCCGGTTCAGGCTGGGGTACGGAGTATGGATACCTCGTCTCTTTTTGTTTGGTCCTAGATTGTCAATATGGGTATAAAGTGGATGCGATTCTACTTCGAGCTAGTTTCCATAGTGACAAGTATCCACATAATGTCGAAGATTCCTTCTGGCTTTGTTTTCGCCGTTCCGGAGAGTGAGTATAGCGGTGAGCAAGAATAAGAGCCTTGGGAGTCTTAGGTCTTCGGTATCCATTGAAAAGTGAGCTATGATAGACAGTGAATATCATTGGTGAACCTGGCTGCACAGCACTTCTGTTTAATTCTGGTGGCTGGCGCTGCTTTATGAACAATAATCCGCTGATACCGCCAGTCCCAAGCCAGCGAGTGTGCAGTCATGTCGGTCTGGTATTCTGATCGCATTCGTTCAAATGCATCTGCGAACTTCCGAATCCTTAGCTCATATGTTGGAATATCCCAATGAATGATGTCGGACCAGAATTCTGACAGCCGTCGCGGGCCGAGTGCATCCCGGGGAGCTCCAGTGTTTGTCAGCAGACTGTGGTCCCACTAACTAACTAGTTATCCACAGCGGAGATGAACGAGGCATTCTCAATAGAAGCAGATGACTATGAGCATGACCGAGAGCATCAAAGCATTGATGATAATAGTTGTCACCTGTGCATCCAAGTCAGGTGCTCGACATCCAGAGGTCAAGACTCATCGCCTGCTTACATAACAAACTCCATGACGTCGATGCCAAACCCATCAAACGAATCTCCTCGCGCACATTTGCGCCTTTCCTATGGCTGCCTTCATCATTGCCAGGACTTGGCCAATGACACGTCAACCTAGTTCACATGCAACCACTCTTCTAACCTAAAACAATTACCATGGCTGTAGCATCAGTCCCAATCACTCACGGCGGTGACAGTGAGTATTTCTAGCTCAAGGATGATGCTTAGATACTGACAAAACTATAGGTATGCTAGACTCGGTCGCAGCGCTGAACGGTCGCGTCTTCGACACCGACCCCGTCATTACGTACATGCTACTAGACATGTCGCAGCAAAAAAGGTTGGCTTATCTGCCGACATACTGGACCGCGCTCATCAAGTCAGCCTTGCTTAATCGCGCAGTGATCACCGAAGCCGATGGCTGGAAGGCCGCCTCTGTCATGATTCCACCGGGTGGGTACGTTGACAATGCCTGGACTCTTCTGTGCGCTGGATTTCTGGGCGTGTTGTGGAAAATAGGACTCCCGGGCGTTAAGGTAAAAGCCCAATATTCTCGCAGAGGACAATCCTGACCGAACTAATAATTATCTAGCGCCTTTGGTTCGAATTCTCTGGTATGACCGACAATGCGAAGAAACTTGGTCTACGTGGACAGAGCCAGTACTACTACGTTTTCAGTCTCGGCACCGAGCATGAACATCGTGGCAAAGGTTCGACAGCCCCATTCCTGACTACGTCATACTGCATCTCTTACTGATATCTGTCCAGGCCTCGCCAAAGCGATCATGCGGGATCACCAACAAACCGCTCAAGCCGCGAACCTTCCGATCTGGCTCGAAGCAACGTCTGCAGGGTCATGCGCTCTCTATCTGTCGATGGGGTTTGAGGAAATCGAAGAGATTCGGCTTGGGAAGGGCAAGGTCGCTGCTGATGCTAGCCCTCAGCCTGATGGGCCAGGAGTCTCCCTTTGGGCGATGGTGTGGTGGCCAACCCCAACTCCTGAAGCTATTCCCTAGGCTTTACAGGTATCCTTCTGCTTATCCGTACGCTTATTGCTAGCATGTGTATGTATCCAAGTGCTCATACTCATGCTCACTATGAACAACCCGATTTATTCATATTTATCCATTGTTTCATGGGCGATATAATGCTGCTATTTCAACCCAGCTAACAGTATACAGCCTGGCTGTTCGGTTGACTCGACAAGAGACAAGCTCAGCAAACACTCTGCACGCTGTTCAAATCCTTAGGAATAACCCCAGCCTTGACAGCATCTGCAAGAAGTCAGCTATCATCGTCCAATTCTTGACGAATGGAAAGAAAAACTCACCCTGGTAAGACCACCGGTAATCATTCAGCTGAGATTTCCAGGTCCAGAAGATCCATCCCTGCTGCTTCTCATAGGAGTGAACCTGCGCCGCAAACCACTTTCCATAGAAGTCGGTATTCGAACTGGGCTCCCAATCCGACGACGCCTCGATATCATCCGGCACAGAGAGACTCCATTCGCCGACAATGTTGGGCCAGTTGCTATCACGGTTATCGCCGCAGGAAGTGCTGATGTAGTTGTCATGCGAGGGGCTAACACTGGTATCCCATTTGATGTAACGATGGTCATCATAGGCCATGTAGGTCAAGTCGTCGAGATACTCGTTGGGATCACCCGAGCCCCAGGACTTATCCATCGTCTGAATATGGAGGTAGTCATTCGAATCGACGGAAAGCTTCTGCTCAGCGGCACGGATACGCTGTATATTCTATTAGTCCATACCCGCGACGTGAAGACCGAAAATACTGCTCACCTCAACAGCCTGCGGGTAATACTTCGACCGCATAGACGACGCCGACGCCTCATCCTGAACAGGCTCATTGACAATCTCCAACATGCCCACGTTCCTCATCTCGTCCGTCTGATAGACAAGGTCCACCATCCACTCGAGCCACTTGAGCGCACGCTCATAGTTGTAATCCGTATAGAAGCCAGGCTCAGAGGCATACTGGCCCGTAAACGCATTTTCCGCCTCCTGTGCACCGGGCGCGCCATGCAAGTCGATAATGATATACAAACCACTGTCACTAGCCCAGCCGCACAATTTCTTCAGCTGATCAAGCCCACCCTGGGGGAAATGCTCGCTGCCGGCATCAACGATGTCCTCGCGCAGCCAGTAACCAACCGGCACGCGGATGGTGTTCAAGCCATAGCTCACCATCTCATTGATATCGTCCTGCGTCGTCCAAGACGCCCAGTGGTTGGCGAAAGCGGTGTTCGCGGCGTCTTGGCCGAGTGAGGAAACGCAGTCGAATTCCGAGTTCTTTCCGCCGCAGCCCATGTCGCTCCATTCACTCTCAGCGATCCAGGGCTCGAAGACGAATTGGGAGCCGAGGTTTACGCCGCGGATTTTGCCGTTGGAGGATTTGAAGAGGTTTGTGCCATCTTTGGCGGTGATGGATTTGTTCTCTTCCGGTAGCCAGGCATTTGTTAAGGTGGCTAGGGTGGTCAAGGTGGTGACTGCGGCGAATTTAGATATCACACCCATGATGTTCGTTTGTAAGGGGACTGTGAATGAGATTGATTGGATTGGAGAATGGTAAGAAAGAGATGGATTTCATCGCATATAAATAGTCTCTGCCATTTCCCATACACTCCACAATTTAGTTCAATTGCATGTTATAGAGGATGTCATGCATGTTCCACGATGATATTGGCGTAGGATGAAACCGACGACTTTCCTATTTGGGAAACTGGGTTGAGACACGCTGCAGGGTCCGGGGGTTGATTGGCGGCGGATACGATAAATATTGCCCTGCTTCTTCACCACGATATCCACTTGAGATTATCCAGCGTCGCTCTTAATTAATCCCTCACCCTGGCGGTGGTCGATGTTTGATCATCTCTGAACTTGCTGGATTTGGCAAATGCGGGCCTCCAATGTGTGGGCCAAGATCGGCAGGCGCTACAGCCCTGGGGGCCGTCGGACGTTGATGAAGACTTGGTAGAGGACCTCTTCGAGGTTTCTTCTGGTTGTCTTTTGCTGTATGTTCATAGCCAAGTGGTCTATCAGGTTGGCCCTTTTTGCCGTTTAAGACATCGGAGTGTCCTTACTATGTAACGTCCCTAATATCATCTTGGGCCAAATAGACCGGGATTATTAAAGTCCTATGTCGCCAAGGACTGAAAGACGCATAAGCATCTGACTATTCTGTTCTATTGTTCGAAAAAGCACTTAGGCCTTCATCCAGCTTACATGAAGACTGTCAAGACAACGTTGATTATCATTAGAGAACATTAAAATCATGATTGCGTTCGCTGCAATCGATATAAGAAAATCATAAAATATAGACTCCTCACAGCGCCTTGAGCAATTCCTGGATCAAAGGCAAGAAGCTTGTCACGTCATCGATCAGCACGCTTGTCTCGTTGACGAACTTAGGAGTGAGGAGATCATGAGCGTTTTCCAAGAGCGCGCCAACATCCGAAATGACAGATGGCTTGAGCAACTTCTTCACCTCGGGCAACAAATCAGGCACGTATCCAAGAATCTCCTTGAGCGTGCTGACCACCTTGGGGGTCAAGAGGCCATCGGCGTTCTCGACAAGGTCTGCGGTATCGTCGACAAAGGCGGGCGTGAGCAAAGTCGTCGCGTTGGTCACAATGTATCCCAGGTCGGTGATGATGGTGGTGTTCAGCAGTGACTTTCTGAGATCGGGGATCAGGGGAATGACGTCGCCGAGGAGATCCTTCAGTCCAGTGACGATGGTTGGGGTCAGGAGGTCGTCTGCGCTGTCGACCAGACCAATGGTCTCGTTGACGAACTTGGGGGTCAAGAGGGTGTTGGCGTTGGACAGGAGAGAGCCAATGGCAGAGATGGTGCTCTTGTTCAGAAGCGACTTCAGCTCCGGAAGCAAAGGAATGACGTCCTTCAGGACCGACTTCAACCCACTGGCCACCTCCGGAGTGAGGAGGTCGCTGGCTTCGCCGACCAGTCCCTTGGTTTCCTTGACGAAGTCTGACGTGAGCAAGTTTCCGGCGTTGTTCAAGAGGGCCTCGATCGAATTGATTGTTTCCTTGGTCAACAGCAACTTCAACTCGGGGATCAGCGGAGTAAGGTCGCTAAGAAGCGACTTTAGAGCCTTGACCAGGTCGGGGGTGAGAAGGCCGACAGCCTCGGTGACCAGAGTATTGGTATCCTTGACGAAGGAGTCCGTGAGCAACTTGTTAGCGTTGCCAAGCACGTTCTCAATTGCGCTGATAGTGGCTGGCTTGAGCAGGCCCTTCAGCTCGGGAATGATAGGAGTAAGCTGAGTGAGGAGAGACTTCAGCCCGTCAACCGTATCCGAAGACAAGAGCTCACTAGCTTCATCGATCAAACTAGTTGTCTGGTTCACGAAGCTGGTAGTCAGCAGGCTATTAGCATTGCCGAGGAGAGTCTCGATCTCTTTGACATTGCCCTCAGTAAGCAGACCGCTTGCCTGATTGATAAGAGGACCGGCTTGGTTGATAAGCTTGCCGGTGGTCGAGATAAAGCTGGGCGTGAGCAGCTTGTTGGCATTGCCCAAAAGTGATTCAATCTCCTTGACATTACCCGCGGTGAGAAGACCGCTTGCTTGGTTGATGAGAGGACCGGCCTGCTTGATGAGCTGGCCGGTAGTCGAGATAAAGCTGGGTGTGAGCAGTTTGTTTGCATTGGACAAGAGTGACTCAATTGCCTTGACATTGCCCTCGGTAAGGAGTCCACTGGCGTCGTCGATGAGAGGGCTGGCCTTGCCGATGAGATTGGTGGTCTCCTTGACAAATGTGGCAGTAAGCAGCGTGTTGGCGTTGGTCAAGAGTGACTGAATCGCTTGAACGTTCTTCTCGGTAAGCAGGCCACTGGCATCATCGATGAGAGGGCTAGCCTTGTCAATGAGAGGGCTGGCTTTGTCAATGAGGTTTGTGGTCTTCTTGACGAAATTGGAGGTGAGGAGGTTGTTGGCGTTGTCGATGAGATTGTCCACCTTGTCGATAAACTGACTGGACAACAACTTATTGGCCACCTGGAGGAGAGTTCCAATCTCCTTGGTGTTCTCCTCGGTCAAGAGGCTATTGGCATTGTCAATGAGACTACCGGTCTTCTTGATGAAGCTTGCAGTCAGGAGGTCGTTGGCATTGCCCACCAAGGTTCGGAGCTGGTTGTCGACCGGGGGTGCTAGACCGGTAGAGAGATATTCGAAGGTGTCGGCGAAATTACCCAAGAAGCTGGGGTTAAGCAAACTTTCAAGACCACTTAGAAGGTCCCCAAGGCCGCCACTACCCCCGAGCAAACTCGACAAGGCATCTTTCAAGTCTGGCAGGATATCAGAAGATGTGGTATCGTCGGAACTACTATCAGAGCTGGTAGACTTGGTGCTTGAGGTGCCTGTATCAGATGCAGCGGAGGAGGTAGCCTTGGGGGCCGAGGAGGTAGTCGCCGCAGCGAAGGAGCTAGTTACAGCAGCCGAGTTATCAACAGTTCCAGTCGAACTGGCTGCATCGGCTGAATTTGATTTATTCGCATCGGCACCAAGAGCGGTCTTTATACCACCGACCACGGATTCCACAGGGTTGGCCGTGGTCGGGTCTGCGGTTTCTGCAACAGCGGTGGTCTCTTCCGTCGCAGGCGCAGGCGCAGTAGCCGTGTCGGCAGCATTGACGGTGTCGGCGGCAGTAGTAGTCTCGGCTGCGACATTGGCCTGATTGACATTGTTTGCCTGAGCAGTGGAGGTTGTCGGGGCTGAGGTTGTCGGAGCGGCCTCGTCTACACTATTCACGACGGGGGTGACGGATTCCACCGAGGCTGAAGGTGCGGCTGGACTTCCGGTCACATTGACTGCGAACAGGAGGGCGGTGGCGAGCGTTGGCAAAAGACGCATGTTGTCGAATGAGCCTATCTAGCTGTCGTTTCTTTGGTTGATATCTTGTCTGACCAGTCCAATTGGCGTCGATTCCCCAAACCTGTCGTTCAAAAGTTTGTTGCGGAGCAGGAAGAGCCTTCGAAATATTCAAAAACTCAACCCCGGAGCGAGTCATCTCTTTATTCGCATTTCGATGGCACTGATCGTCGCGCAGTAGACAGGGTCCTAGCTAAGCGCAATTGCACTCATGTGTCTTTCTTTGCGTGCTCCGTACGGAGTACGAGGTTGCTTCATGATCACCGAGGAAATAGGGATCGACACCGAGGCAGAGTAGCAATGACCTCCCATGTGATGGGCAGTGATGAGCAATTCTCACTATAACTCCGCTCGATGGCAGCGTCTGAAAGCTTGCTGTCGGCCGTGCCTGGGGACTAGGTAGTGATCAGCACTAACAGGGTAAAGCTAATAAATTTGCTCCCGAGGTCCAGCCAGGTACATGTGTTTGCTTTGCAGGGGGAAAGCTGGGCATCCGTTAAGGTAAGCCATCGCAAAGCTTCGTATATTGGCGTATTACGGATGGACGCGGGATTTCCGGGGCAAAAGGCCGGGGCAAAAGCGGGGGATGCATTATATTTCCCCACAAGTAGTCAAGATGAGGAACAAGGCCAATGATGGGGTGGAATGGAGCGAACGACAAGAAATTGGAAGAAAAGAAAATGAGGGGAGGTTCGGACTTGGGGCTGAAAGAGGAAATGAACGACATGTCGCTACTCATCGCTCATCTCCACAAGCTTCGCAGTTCCCAGATATCAGAGTTGGAGATGCTATTGTCGATTTCCTTTGTATTGGTTTACATTTGAAAATCAACAAGCATTGGGAGGTTATTCATGAGAATTCAGATCTCACCTACGGAGTATACATAAGAAACAATCGGCAACAAGTACGGAGTACTACAACATATATCCTCTTCAACGGGACGAAAGAAGTTGAGATCGTCGAGTGTTTATACCAAAGTCCAACTTGGAAAGCTAAACGGTCATCTCTTATTCCCTTTTGCCATTTGCTTCGTTTTTTATTCCAGATGTCTGTTAGCCTACCTTAACTCTGTATCCCATACTACCTAGGTCTCGATCTCTTGTCAATGCCACATACCTTCGCATCAAGGGGGTGTCCAAGTCACTCGAGCGTGACTCGAACGACCTAGATTCCAGAAACCATGTGCGCACCTCCTTCTGATTGGCCATGTTTCCCAGTAGTCTAAACCCAAAGCCCCCATAAACTCTGACCACGATAATGTTGCAGTCAGTCAGGTCCCCGTGGCCCGTGGGTAAAGGTCCACGGGTGAGGAGAAGGCATGCACTCACGGAGCCGCAATCTAACAACTTCCGGTACTTTGTCGCTTCAGGGTTTTGCCAAAACATCCCACAGTTCGTCGACCGTGCTCGATGGGCCATGTGTCATCCCAAATCCATCATGGTGAAATGATGAGGACATGGACACTTTCCATCTTAGCGAAATCTTAGCGGAGAGGAACGAGCGGAGCTGCCCCAGATACCCAGCAGTCTTTCCCGGTCGGGTTGGGGGATTGACCAGCAGATCTCCTCTAACGGTACCCCAGGCCCAGGCACCCGCTCGACGATCTGGAATACTCGCCCTCGGTCCACTCCTGCACGGTTGTGAGAACGGGGAAGGTGGTATTCTCTTTGATAAAGTGGGCGTTGATGACCTCATGGCTAGGAGATTCTCTCCCGCGCTCCTTGAGAAGAAACCTTGAGCCGAGGGACAGTAGCCTCGATTGCTCCGTGGAGGCGCACGCTACTTTCGTAGGCAGGGGCCATCCGATGATGACATTGAAGCTGTGATTCTGTATTTCCTTGGAATCGAGATATTTGATAGATTAAAATGTCTCGGACTGGTGACTGGTGATTTAAGGAATGAGGGAGAATCACAAGATAAACTGCTCGGTTACGATGTACTCTGTAGCGGTGAGTCAAGGGACTTTCCAGGGTATACGAGCACATACCACACGGATTGGTACATTGGGCAGTGACCTATCGTCGAGATTAAAATGATCCATCTCGGTTGGGTAGATCTAAAGCCTCGGATTTTTCATTTAAAAGTTGGTGATGGCATTCCTTTATCTGGGGTCTGGGTATGACAATGGTCATATTGGCTTCGAAATATGTATCGTGCGTTGCAGACTAATGCAGGACAGCCGAGATGGAAACTTAGTAGCAAGTGATAGCTATCAAGGAACCAGTACTATAAAAAAACAAGTGTCGCACTATTCATTTTGCTCTAACAGTAGAAGGAACCGCCAAGCGTTGGGCATCAAAGTTGCTCCCAAGGGTTTATTCCAGTGCTACTCCGTACTTTATTCCTTCGAACATTTGAAATCCCCAGGATTAGTGCATCAACTTCTGTCTAGAATATTAGTAGTTACTCCCCCATAGCCGACGTGTTTACAACAGGACTGTTAGTGTTAGTAGCACGGGGTTCCAAATACAACTAATCTTCACAATGTATAGGGGTATTATAGGAGTATCTGAAACCCAAGTATACAACATACATAGTATCCCTTCCATAGTTCATATCGGTTCAACCCGAGATACCCGAGGCCGGCTCCGAAATATAATGCCGGACTCCGTAGTTAGAGTAGTAGTTATTGAAATATACAGAAGAGAGACGGGGTACTCCGTACTCCGTCTCTACCCCGTGTCCTCAAACAACATGCCATTACCCGAGATAGTTCAATGTCATACGAGTCAGGTCAGCCTAGATCCTCCACATCACCCCATACTAGGCCAAGTGGATCAACATCAGACGATACCTTTGGGACAAACGAACGGGGATAACTCGGCCGAAACTACGACTCCACCTCCTCGTCGGATCTTCTGTCAGATAAGTGACAAGCCGAGGTCAGAGCTGTTGAGATCGACTGATGTGATTTGATGGCCCATCTACGTAGAAGTACCGGTGGAGAAAAGGATCGGCCGAATATCCCGGCACTCGAGCAGACATCTAAACGGGAATGTGCCGATTCTGAGGACTTGACTTCTTCGACTTTCGACTCTCGACTTTCCACTTCATACAAGTTTGACTGCAAATATCCAGGACCTTCCTTATATTTGGAAGGATTTCTATATCGCATTCTTCCCCACGGGGTAGGTGAGGGGGGTATGTATATAGAAGACGCTGACCTAGGAAATCCCGAGGTATTCGACGATTGTATATTCCCGATATTTCCCACGTTCCCACGTTCCCCAAACGCCAGCACGGGAAACCGAACCAAAATCCGCAATATATGAAGCAGTTACACTATTGGGTTGCCCCCGCTCATGCTGGGGAACAACATCACGTCCGAAACCCGACCAAGGATATTCCGCATGCTCAACCCTTCCATCGGCTGCAGACCTGCATTGGTGGACGGCATGCTGGGGCTGGGTTCGAGAGAGGGAGGGGAAGGCAACACAAGTGGGGAATATGTGGTGCTGGATGCTTGCCCCGTCGAACGATTCGTGCGAGCGCTGAAGGCCTGACGGATCTCACGCAGGGCACGGAGCGACGAAGACAGATGCTTGGCGGAGTCGGTGCGGTTGTTCTGGTTCATCTCATCGTCTGCATAGACATGGTCCGCTAGTACCATCTCCAGCCTGTCGATCAGCTGCCAGGTCTGGGGGCTGTCGTCATTTGCAACGAGCAGAAACGCCGATGCAATGCTTCGCTGCAGACTGATCCAGGACCGTGAGCAGTGAGAATTGATCTCGTGCAATTCGACAAACGCGTCGATTGTGTTGACTAGGCTATCGATACAGTCTTCGCGGATCATTGCGCGACGCGGTGCGTCCAGATGGGAATGTGGGTCAAGGGAGACGCGACACAAGACAGAGAGAAGATAGGAAGAGTGCAAGCGCAATTCGGTTCGCTCAATATGCTCGGCTAGAGACCGACAGTTGTCGCGATACCGCAGATGAGAAGTCGCTTCAGCGAGCATGCGCTGGATTTGTTGTTTATACTCCCGGATCTCATGGACACGTAATTGAGATGATCCGGGATACATACGCGACCGCAGGACTTCCAATGACAAGGATACAATGCGACACAGAGTCTCGAAATATGAGCGGTGGCCCGGCATTGATTTAGGATCGAATGGAATTTCGGGCTGGCTGACCATAGTGATCGATGGTCGGTCATAGGCAAGTGAGAAATGGCTGTTCTGGAAGGCCATGGTCCACCTAGGAAATGTGAGCTTTAGATTAACCAAAAGAGCAAAATGGCTACCTACCAGACGCGCCTTCGCACTTCCTGCTCTGCGAGTGAGAACCCGCTCGACTCAACATGGAGCCCGAGAACAAGACACATTCGCTCCGTCATACCTGATATTGTGTTAGCTTGACCATCTCATTGGAAACACCCCCACGTACCAAGCAAAGTGTATGATGCACCTGCATTCATATTGTATGAAAGTACATTGCTAATGATGAGAAGAATCTGAATTACTTCGACACTGGGTTGCGAGACATAATTCAACATTCGAAGGCATTGATACGCACACGAAACTGGAGAAAGTCAGTACAGCACTTCCGACCTTCCTAGAATGCGACGCACCGTATACCCATGAGGTCAACTCACGGTCGCTTTCCGGGATGCCAGACAGCTGGCACCCCGATGCAAGAACCGCAAAAAGGAGACTGAGAAAAGCCAACGGCATCCCGAATGGTTTCAGTAATCCGTTGGCATCGGCTTTATAAACACCCCCTGCTCGTCGTCGATTATCGAGAAGTCGTTTAGTATGTCGTCCTAGTTGTGCAGTGTCTGAAAGTACTGGGTATAAAACTGCACCGATATCTTGATAAAACGCCAGGAACCTGACAATTGGAATTAGCATGCATCGCAGAATACCACAGATCTCCGGCTTACTCCAAACACCGGCCGTCTTCCGGGAGAACCGCACAAACACCGGCGATATTGAAGGTGAACGGGTCAGAGGTCCACAAATCCACAAAGGGGTATGCAGCCGACTCATTCCCCAAAGCCAGTTCGGCAAGAAGATCATCCTGGGGCAGCGCCTGCGCTGTGTCCTCCGACCGCTTTGATTTGTCCAAAATATCAACCAGGGCCGACCGCGACCCCAGATGTACCGCGCCCGTCTTCAAGACATTCGACCCGTAGACACCTTCCGACCGGGTGGAACCTTTTGGTTCGACCGGTTCTGGTTCTGATTCTCGCTCTGGTTCTCGCTCTGGCTCTCGCTCTGGCTCGGGCGGCTTGTGAGTCGAGTGTGTTTGGAAGAGCGAGTGCAGACTGCCGAGGATCTGTTCCATTGCGACCATCTTGTTGTTAATTTCATCCCACTCCGCCTGGGAGATATCAATTATGTCCGGTAAATCCGGATCGGCGCTAGTGCTCGAGGGGTGATCGGCATATGAGCCATCAGTTGTGGGAGCTGAGCTGGTATACGGGGGGTTCGTGGGGGAGGCGAACGTAGACTGCTGTAATGGGGTGGAGGAAGCAGTGGCGACGGTAGCAGGAGGGGGGTGTTTCGTAGAGGACGGACGACCGTAGGAGCAGGGGAAGTTTCGTTTGGTGCAATTGCCGCAGGGGACGTTGCGATCGCAGCGGACCTTGCTCGCTCGGCATGGGAGACATGTCTTGCACTCGCGCGGGCGGCGACGGATAGGGTAAGTTGGCATAATGTGGACTTTGTATCTTTTTTTTCTTCACAATCGGATCCCCGTGATCGGCAAAGGAATTATGGAAAGGGCTGCCTGCGGCGACCGGGCAATAAGAGGGAGCGGCATAGGAAGACGTAGATCGAGGTGAGGGCTGAAAATGGACAGCTCTGGTGCTGACCAGTCGGAATGGCGCCAATAATGAATTCAATAGAAACGACCGGCCCTGGAGCGATTGATGCGTCCAACAGTGCCTATCATCGGAGGTCCGTGAGCTGCCCCGGATTGTCCTGCAAAACAGGGAAACCCTTGGGAACAAAATAAGGAATGCGAAAGGACACTTCTTGACAGTGCCAAGGTATGTGTAGAATTGGGATGTCGGATTGGGATGTCGGATTCAATCTTGGAAGGTGAAGGGTGGAAAAGAGTTGTGAAATTGCCCAGAGGCAGATGATTTCATAACCCAGCGGATGTTCCCGTTCGCTACGGATGTGACCTGATTTGGTTGATTTGTGGATTTGTTGATTTAATATACTTCAAGTTACTATGACATGGGGATATATACTTGATTACTTTCATTTCTATAGCGAATAAAAGGTATCACTCGTACATCATAACTACTAGGAAATCAAACACGTATATGCCTCTATCATTCACGCCTTAGACTTCTTCTCAGACACCTGCGGGACCACCCACCAGTCATGCCAACGAAACTTAGATCCAACCTCGGGCACAGTCACCTCCAAGTTGAGAGTTTTGTCGTCGGTAGATGTCGCAGAGAGAGCCTTCTTGACCGCATCAATAGCAAGACTAGTTCCAATGCAGGCACGCATGGTGTTCTTCGTGTCACACTTCCAATCCTCTTCAATGGCTGACGGTTTCGGTTGAGTTGGTGCGGACGGGTCATCAATAAATGTCCCATTGGCAAGGGTCGCCTCCCACGCCTTGCGCGCTTCGGTGATGGCTTTCGAGGCACGCTCCAAAATGGTGGCGTCGGAATCACCTTCGAGAGCTGCCTCGCGCTGGTATTCCTCGTATGGAACCAATTCTGGCAATGTGATAGGGATGAACGGTTTCATGCGGATTTCATACCGGAGTCGGTCGCTGGAATATGCTTGGGGAGACGAAGCAGACGGGAGCACGTTGTGCCGAGCCAATACAACATACAATGCATGTAGAGCAATCGCAAATGCATCCACCGCAATGATATGCGTAGTCAACCTTTCTAGCACGTGGAACGATCGGTGGAACGCGGATGCATGTCGAGAGGAACTCCCAGAGTGCTCGTCAGTAGACATCAAGTTGCGTTTTCGTGCAGCCACAGTAAACGTGCGAATGCGATCAATATGGCCGAGATGTGTAGAGCAAATATGAGAAAGATACCAGTACATGCCCGGTAGCTCTTCCGGGGAGTAGATCGACAACTCAAAGCCCATCTGGAGAATGAGTCGGAACTGGAGGAGCTTCTGGTGATAGGCCCAGCTACTAAGTGGGAAAGACCAGGTCGGTTCGCCGCCTTGGAATTGCAGAGGTGGTTCCCCACTCAAAGTGCGGAGCTCGAGGTCCATTTCTTCTGCCTACATTAAATCAGCATTAATACTCAAATAGCAAAGAGACACGAGGCAGGACTCACCTCGATCTGTAGATTATCCCAATCGACAAGAGTATGGCAGAGTGTTCGGCGCATGCGACACCTATTGAGACATGCGCATCGCACAGTATCAACAAATGGCTGTGAGGGTTAGCAAATGGGACATGTCATGATCTACATGTTCACTAACCTGGGCGAATCGCTTCATGAAACCATCCATCTTCCGGGCAATCTGGAACCGAGGATCAGACGGCACTTCCACTTCTTCAATGTTAGCCTCGAGTAAAATACTAGCAGGTAAGACGAGTTCCGCGAGCTCATCGTGTAAAAACTCATTCACAGGTACGGTACCGAGGATCGTCATGTTGCTGACAATCAATGCCTGAAGAAGACAACGAATATAAATTGACGGCTGTGGTTTTCGAGAGAGCAAAGTCCATACGGCAGTCTGTAATACAAGTCAGAGCCAGAACTACACTCAAGTTCAAGAGTACATACCTTGAAATTGCTGGGACCGGTATAATCCAGCATCTGCTGCATGTCTATCGCATCTTGGCACAGTCGTTTCAGATGTGTGAGCGCGTCATCGGAGGTAATATTAACCATCGGACGAGGTGGCACTGTGCTAGCCAGCTTTCGTTGAATCTTCAAGCTGAAGGCATCTGGCACCGGCTTTCCCAGCGCGACAGTCTCTGTCAGAGGTCGAAGTTGCGTTATACACGAGGTGAAATTTTCCACAGATCTGGTTTCAAGAACTTCAACATCCTGATGTAGTGCAGACAAAAACTCACGCCGAAACACTAGTCTGCAATGGATGGCATCCTTGAGCTTCTGGTCAATATCGGTCTGTTCCGCAACCCAGGCAACCGCCTGGTCCAGCAGGCGGTGAAAGTCGGATATATCGAAGGCAGACAGAAGATTGCGATTGTATAATTGACTGACAAAATCCTCTTCCTAGTTCGCGGGTGGCATTAGCGACAGTCAAAGAAGTTGGCGAGCCAGCCTACTAACCTCATAATAATATTCAGTGGCCACTCGGACATGCACAAAATCACAAGCTTTCACTAATGCAAGACAATAAGCTCTCAAGACGAGGTTAACCAAAGGAGCATCACTTGGTACACAGTCAAATCGAGCGTCGTTCATGGTTTTGGGCACCGGCCACATCAATTTATCGAGATAAATTGACGTGAATAGCGTCTGCGATAGAGGATGTCCCTTATGCCACGCCACCTGCAATTAAGTCAGCAAACTGCCGTCTTCATATGTGCGATATCATCTCCCACCTCGTGGCACAGCAACTGGTCCATCAAGCCAACGACTTCCTCTGGTGTCAGCGGCCGCCGTACGTCGTAGTCGTCTTCCAGCGCCTGCGCAAGATTTTCTCCGGGGGCTATGTAGCCACTGTCCATCCTTGAGTCCATAATCTGTGCGGGTTCGATCGTCGTCAGCTGCAATTCTTGTCGCACGTTTCACATCCGGTGAGAAAGCCGACGCACCTCCAACGCGCCCACAGCCTCGAATAGGGTGAATGTCTCATCTTTCACGAGCTGCCCTGCATTTAGCTCTACAAGTACAAATAATTAGACACTTAATCGAAGCTTTCGGGTAGTATGCTTACTCGCTGCGGCTTTTGTAAATTCGGCTGTAATGTCGCGGGGTGCGGACTGCTCAACGAACCGCGGACGGCGAAAGCGAATCTCGTTATTCGGCAGCATCGCGAGTAATCCCAAGTTCTTTCCACAGTGCTGGTTCTATTACAGGACTTCAAACAAGTCTCGTGCTGCCGGACGTGTTTCGAGAGATCAAATCGAGGGGGAGGCGGGGATGTGAGCGGAGGAAAAAGCGAGTCGGGAAGTCGACAACCGGGCCTAGAGGTGACGTGCAACATCTGACCGGCCACGCCCGGGCAATATGAGAATTCTTACAGAAGTTTTAACTAACAGCTTATGGGTCATGTGAAAACAAAGACCAGTGGGATTTCTAAGCTCTGCCCAACCAGACAGGCCGGTATTGCTACACATGTACATTTCAATGCCTCCCCCGGACCAAAAACTCGCTCAAGTCCGTCACACTCGGGTCCTGCATATCTCCAAGCTCGATTCTCTCAGGTTAGGGGGAACAAGGCTTATTTCTCAGCAGCCTTGGCGATGGCCTCGTTGTTGGCTTGGGCGAGAGACTTCACTTCACCCTGCTTGCCGTTCTGTTCGTCGGAACATTGTCATCAGTCAAAATTCCGCATAGAGCTCGGGAGGTTCACTTACATCCCACTTGGCGAAACGGAGGTCCATGACTCCGCGGCGCTCAGAGGCGAGACGAGGGGCTTCCTTCAAGGAGCGGCGCACCGTGCGGGCGGCGATGGCCAGGTAGCGGTTGTAGCTGGGGTCGTGGTTAGCATTGATTCGGAAGAGCATTCGTGAACGCGTACGTCAAACCGGCGGCTTTCCAGGCAGCAGTCATTTTGAAGAGAATGTGGAGGTATGATTCGATTGAAGGGGTGAAAACGGTTCGGGTGAGTTTGGAAGCGTTCGACTTCGGAGGATCGGGATGACAGGATCACGTGGGGAGCAGTCTACCTTCGGAAGGCGGTGGCTAGAAAAGCGGTGAGAATTTACGCGGTTGGAATATTTGGTGCCTAGAAGTCACGTGATATTGGGGTAGGTCTGGTCGAGGGAAAATATTTATCCGACGTTTATCCGACGTATATTGATAAGTAGTGTCACCTCTAGGGCTTCATGTCACTAGCGTTTATTTCGACTACATCCTTGTACAAAGAACACTACACCACGCGACACACCATGTTGTTCTACCCCAAAACGCCCGATTCGTAAAATTATATCGCTATTCGCCATTGGGTCTATAATAATTGCATTCTGTTCTTTTCATATCTTTCTCCGAGGTGGTGGATGTCGCAAAGATAGATCGTTCGTCACTATACAATACGACACACCATATCATCCAGCCAAACAGCATTCGATTCGTACAGTCATAATCGCTATGCTGTTGGCTCATCAATAATTGTATTCTGTGTTCTTCGGTTTTTTCGTCGAGGGTGGTGGAGTGTAGAAGCGTTGTCGTGAAGTTATATAGATCTTTCGTAACAAGAGGGGCAAACTGCGTATCGCCTCCGGCTCGAATGTAAGTCTCGCAGCCACGATGCGTCTTCGCAGCTTCGAAGTGCTAGATCAGATGTATCAGCACGTGTAAATAGGAATATAGACCCCAAGAAGCAGGGCTTGCTGTGCATAAGAAGGAATACAATATGCCTGCTTGTGGTGCAGGGTATGAAAATCCGATTCGGGTTGACCAGCCGTGTACAATACACGTGCTTGACCTCGAAACCAAGAGCCAAACAAGCACCCGAAGGCAACAACACAAAAGTGTTTCAAGGCGGTCCGTTGCTCAAGAGCATTTGCCATCCCCCACCACTCCTGTTGGTCACCATCTCTCTCACTTGCTCTTCATTCTCATCAACCTCCATCCATCTCCCATCGTCCACAACATTCCCCATCTTTCTGTGCTTCGATACCAAAGCATCTCGAATCGACAGTGCCTTTTTATCATATCCACCAGGTGAGTAGCCCAGTTTTGTACTGGTGATAGTCCATTGGTTTCCCTAGCACATCCCCACTTCCTACCATAGAGCTATTGCTTCTGTGCATCATTGGCATGAGGTCCTGTGGCACACTGTGGTTGTTGAGAGCTCCGATGCCATCCAGTGCTTAGCCATGACCCATTGCCTTTGCCGATGATCGGGTTGTGCATATCAATGCCCAACATCTGGCAAGCTCATCTCAATTGCATGGCGTCTGGGCATGAGTGGCACAAGTCGTCCAACAAGTTGAGAATCTTGCAATTTTCGATCGGATATATTGTGTGTACCGTCATCCCCAGTACATGGTATTGGGGATGGGTGGTATTAATCCACAATTGCATGAGACCATCGTTGGTCCCATGCCCTTCTCGGAAATGGAGGATGTTGAAATCGCATGCAGCATCACTAGGGTATCGGCCATCAGTTGCTCTGAGCATGGGCATTCTGAAAAGCTTCTTTGGGCCACGCTCTAAGATCCTGCAGTCATGGTTAGCCTTGTCACTATCTGCATATTTATCTTAACATACCCTGCTCGGGCGGTGCGCGATACCATATTCCATCCAAATGCATACTGCAAACCCATTCTCATTGTGAACACTGTGTGTTCACTGTGTTTGATCCATCTTTCTGCTTTATCGGAGTTTGACAGCAATGCAACAACACATTGGCCGTGCCCAGTCACCTACCTCACGCCCCGTCCATATATTCCAGATTCATTTTCTTTCTTGTGAGCACAAATGCTAATGATGATATTGTGCAGAAGGATATAAAGGAATCGTCCATCCAACATGCCGATCAAGAAAAAAGCCGGTACCCGAAAGCGCGACAATGAGGCGGACCTTGCTGAGCTCGAAAGGCTCCGGAAACAAGTTGCTGAACAGAGCAAGGCGCTAGAGGCTGAAGAGGCCCGCAGGGAGGAAGAAAGCCAGGGCAAGCGCCAAATCAGCAGCCGGCGCCAACGGACACTGGTTCGCTGGGATGGTAAGTTCCCAACCTTGTTCCATCTTTCTATTCGGGGATGTTGTCCAACTGGGAACATCATGGAAAGATATATTGTTGTCACATAGACTTGTATTCAAGCAGAGGATTTGCCAATGGATTATGCTGACATTTGACTGAAATAGTGGATACCGACATTCGGCTTCTGTTGGCCATCCAGTATGCCTGCAATAAGCTCAGCGTGAAGATTCCCTGGAAGGAGGTCGCGGAAGTTTTGGGAGAGAAGTTCACGGAGGGTGCGATTGTTCAGCATTTGTCTAAGCTGCGCGCCAAGCGGGAGGAGCAGGATAAGCCAAATCCGCCTCCACTGAAACGTGCAGCGAGTTGCTATAACAAGAACGACAAAAACAAGAAGGAGGCGTTGTCTCCTCCAAAGGACGAACCACCAAGCACTCGCAGCGGAAAGCGCCGACGCCGGTCGCCATCCGTTGAGGAATCCGACGACGATGTGTACCCTATCAAGAAGAAGCAGCCTACAAAGAACAAGAAGAAGGGCAAGGTCTCCGCTGCTCCTAAGCTGCGTGGAGAGCGAGAACAATCCGAGAGCGGTGACTCCCAGAAGCTGCTGTGTGTTGGAGCGGAATGGCTGCGTGACTTCGCTGGCGACGACTGTGAGGTTGACGACGAATCGGCTAGTTCTGAAGAGAACGAGGACGAGGACTCAACTGAAAGCAGCCACGTCACTACTCAAGCGGCTAAGAAGTCAAAGATTGTGACACTCAAGCTAGGCCGAGAGCGCCTGGCAAGTGTTGACCGCTACCTTGGTGGCTCTGCAACTTTCCGGGAGCCTATGGCCTCAACCAACCCGTTGCGCGCTATCACCAACATGCCACCCCGTCAGCCATCCTACCGTACTTACATGCACTCCGTTGGGCCTTTTTCGCCTGACCCCACCACTTTGTTTGGGAACAACATCTCTTACCCATCCAATGGCCCAAGCCCATTTGATATTCCGATTTCTGACGCTGATCTTGCTGGAGCCTGTGCTTTTGATGATGTGGATCTCACAGCACCGTATTCACAGTTTGATATCCCCTCCGAATTGCAATTTGACCCAATGTGCAGCTACCTCAATACCAGTGGTTTTGACAACCAGTTCATTCCCGACGATGAACTGTTTGCGTCCGTTCCTGACGTAGAGCCTCCTCGGTACTATGGGTACGAGGGTGAAGAGGTCCAGGAATTTTGATTTCCTGGGTCGTTCGTCATGGTTCCTGGTTGCTCTGTTACTTTTCAATGCTTTTCCCCAGTGCCTTCTGAGGCTTTTTTCTTATTTCCTCCTTTCTTTGACTTTTCTTTGCTTTTCTTTGCTTTTGTTTTTCCTTTTTTTCCTTTTCTCGCTGGTTGGTCGGAGGAGATGGGTGAGCATCGATCCCGATTCAACGGGTGCAACTCCGGATAATAATTCTTGCGTGGCATGGAGTCATGTGTTATCTGAAGTTGTACCCCAGCGCTTCTTTCATGCGTTGCTCGTTGGCCCCCTGCGGGGAGCCCGGTAGTTAGTTACATCAATAAGACCATATCGTATCATCTTTTTTTTAAAGTACCTTGTAGGTTAATGGTGGGTTCTCACTGATGATAAAAGCGAAGTCGCTAATTCGCTAGTATATAGAAGGTTGCCGAACACCGGATATATGTACGGAGTAGCTTTCCGAGGTATATATATGAACACATCGGCTTGGATCTATGCATCACGTAGGAATGCTCTCTCTTCATGGCCTTTTGAATTTAGACTAAATGATCTAAACTACCATTCTACATCACATTCTCAATCTAATAATCTGCTATAACACCACAATATCTACAATATTTCCACTGCCGATCTAGGTCCGTTCTTCCGGCTCACGTGATGGTTCTAGCTGTTTCTGCCGCCAAGCTCTGGGGATGAAGGAAGCGCCTGGAAAATTTTCGAGACTTTAGCTTCATCTCTCCCCCAGCTTTCTCCATCTCTTTTCTTTTTCCCACTTCAAACCCCCGATTTCTCCTGGGTTGTTGTATTTCTCTCTTCTTTTAATCCTTTTAATCCCGTTGTTTCCAGCCATGCAGCGCGCTCTCTCTACCCGGACATCCGTCCTGTCGGCCGCTTCCAAGCGTGCTCCTTTCTATCGCTCAACATTGAACCTCCAGCAGCAGCGTTTTGCTCACAAGGTGCGTTGGATTGACAATTACCCGCGGGATCATCCTGCTCTGCAATTGACACTCTGTTCCGTCCATTCCGAAGCGTTTGACCGTTCCCCTTGCTAACAGCAACTAGGAGATCAAGTTTGGCGTTGAAGCTCGTGCCAGCCTCCTCAAGGGTGTTGACACTCTTGCTAAGGCTGTTACCTCCACACTCGGTCCCAAAGGTCGCAATGTCCTGATCGATTCCCCCTACGGCTCCCCCAAGATCACCAAGGGTAAGATTCCCATCAAGACAGACACTTGGCCACTAGCAAAAAGACTAATTATTCCCTAGACGGTGTAACTGTCGCCAAGGCCATCACTCTTCAGGACAAGTTCGAGAACCTCGGTGTCCGCCTCATTCAGGATGTTGCCTCCAAGACCAACGAGGTTGCTGGTGACGGTACCACTACCGCCACTGTCCTTTCCCGCGCCATCTTCTCCGAGACCGTCAAGAACGTTGCCGCTGGCTGCAATCCTATGGACCTGCGCCGCGGTATCCAGGCTGCAGTCGAGGACGTTGTGGAATACCTCCAGGCTAACGCCCGCCCTATTACCACCGGTGAGGAGATTGCCCAGGTGGCCACCATCTCCGCCAACGGTGACACCCACGTCGGCAAGCTCATCTCCACCGCCATGGAGCGTGTTGGCAAGGAGGGTGTTATCACCGTGAAGGAGGGCAAGACTCTGGATGACGAGCTTGAGGTCACCGAGGGTATGCGCTTCGACCGTGGTTACACCTCCCCCCTACTTCATCACCGACCCCAAGTCCCAGAAGGTCGAGTTCGAGAAGCCCTTGATCCTGCTCTCCGAGAAGAAGATCTCCGCTGTCCAGGACATTCTCCCCGCCCTCGAGGCCTCCACCACCCTCCGCCGCCCTCTGGTCATTATTGCCGAGGACATTGAGGGCGAGGCTCTTGCCGTCTGCATCCTGAACAAGCTCCGTGGTCAGCTCCAGGTCGCCGCCGTCAAGGCCCCCGGCTTCGGTGACAACCGCAAGAGCATCCTCGGTGATCTCGCTGTTCTCACCAACGGTACTGTCTTCACCGATGAGCTCGACATCAAGCTCGAGAAGCTCACCCCCGAGATGCTTGGCTCCACTGGTGCCATCACCATCACTAAGGAGGACACCATTATCCTCAACGGTGATGGTAGCAAGGACAACATCTCCCAGCGCTGCGAGCAGATCCGCGGTGTTATGGCAGACCCCACCACCTCCGAGTATGAGAAGGAGAAGCTGCAGGAGCGCCTTGCCAAGCTCTCCGGTGGTGTCGCCGTCATCAAGGTCGGTGGTTCCTCTGAGGTTGAGGTCGGTGAGAAGAAGGACCGTGTCGTGGACGCCCTTAACGCCACCCGCGCTGCCGTTGAGGAGGGTATCCTCCCCGGTGGTGGTACCGCTCTGCTCAAGGCCTCCGCCAACGGCCTTGCTGGTGTCAAGCCCGCCAACTTCGATCAGCAGCTCGGTGTCAGCATCATCAAGCGGGCCATCTGCCGCCCTGCCCGTACCATTGTTGAGAACGCCGGACTCGAGGGCTCCGTCATTGTCGGCAAGCTGACCGACGAGTACGCCAAGGACTTCAACCGCGGATACGACAGTGCCACCAGCCAATATGTTGATATGATTGCTGCCGGTATCGTCGATCCCCTGAAGGTTGTCCGCACCGCCCTGGTTGACGCCAGCGGTGTCGCCTCCCTCCTCGGTACTACCGAGGTCGCCATTGTCGATGCTCCCGAGGAGAAGGGCCCTGCCCCTCCTGGTGGTGGCATGGGCGGTATGGGCGGTATGGGCGGTATGGGTGGCATGGGCGGCGGCATGTTCTAAAGCCCCTAACCCTATTCCCCTAAAGAATTACCTCGAGCGCTCTTCTTTGCATCGTAGCCTGTTCTGATACTCGGATGTTTGTGTAATGTCTTTTCTTTGTGTCTTATTTGGTGTTCATCTTCTTTCATGTTTTTTTCCCCATACCTGTATTCTTTTGGACGTGTTCTGATCTCCGACTCTCTCTCTCCTCTCCTCTCCTCCCTGGGGCTTGACAAAAAAGGTTCCTCTGTATTATATCATGTATTCCAATAAAGTCCCATCTGATACGGCTTGCTGAATCATGTCTTTTTCGGGATCGACAATGTCCCCTCATAGATCTACTGAAGCTCCTAACAGTCTCGCTAGAAAGTATTCCTTACGAAGTATAGGGGAAACATTCCATATTTTCACGTACCCCATATATTAGCAAACCAACTGATTGGCCACGCGGGTCGGCTGTTTTGTGCAGTCTATAGAGTCATAAGACCAAGGAGGGTCTAGACTGAGGCGACGGGCGAATACGACTTCAGACGCGCATGATACACGCAATGATGGGAATTAATAGCGATAGAGAGTATATGTTGTAGTAAAGGATTCCAATAGCCAACGTCAGCCGATGTAAGTGGTCGGGCACCGCAATTAACCATGGGTACTGCTGTTCTTCTCTCGGGCTCTTGAATCCTCTCCGCCTGGACCCTTTCCCTCGCGTCACTAGATCATTTCGGCATTCCAGTCCTGCATTTTTGTGCATTTTTGTACCTGATCTGGATTCGCTCTTTCAATCCGAGTTTCGTTCTTTTCCTGGAATACCTTGGCCGTCGGGAATGCATACCGCGCTTGCGGGGAACACATCGTGTTCGCCCCTCCGTCGCCTGTCAACGTAGGTACGATCATGACTCTCTGATATTCTAGTCTGTCGCCAACTTGCTTTTATAGTCACTACGCGCTTAGAGAGCCCTGAACCGATTTGAATCGAAACTAGACTGTGACTGCTGCCGGCAATGGCTGCCATGGTGGATGCTCGGCCAGCTCTGGTGAGCGATGCAGATCTCATGCAAGCACGAGCAGCTCTCCAGCATCAGCAGAGTCCAGAAGTCTCTGTTCCCCGCGAATTCATCTCTCTCATCGTCGAGGAACTCATCTACCGCCGCGAGTCGCATTCCTCCATCGCGGAAATCGAACACGAACGCTCAATCCTCCGGAAGGAACTCCGCAAGCACACCCACATCAATGAGGCATTCCAGAAAGAACTACGGGAGATCGGCGAGATCATTACCCAGGTCGCTCATGGCGATCTATCACAGCGGGCCCGCATGCACCCCCTCGAGATGTCGCCTGACATCGCTACCTTCAAGCAGACAATCAATACCATGATGGATCAGTTGCAGGTTTTCAGTCAGGAGGTATCGAAAGTGGCCAGGGAGGTTGGCACGGAGGGTGTATTGGGTGGCCAGGCGAAGATCGAGGGCAATCAGGGAATTTGGCATGAACTGACTGTCAACGTGAATGCCATGGCCAACAATCTGACCACGCAAGTCCGCGATATCACCACCGTAACGACGGCGGTTGCCAAGGGTGATTTGCAGCGAAAGGTGCAGGCGGATTGTAAGGGCGAGATCTTGCTGTTGAAGAATATCATCAACTCGATGGTCGATCAGCTGCGGGAATTCGCATTCGAGGTTAGTCGCGTTGCTCGCGAGGTCGGATCGGACGGTGTGCTCGGTGGCCAGGCTGTTGTGCACGGCGTTGAGGGTACTTGGAAGAATCTTACGGACAACGTCAACCGGATGGCATCGAATCTTACGCAGCAGGTCCGCGAAATTGCCGATGTCACGACCGCCGTTGCACGTGGTGATCTTACGAAGAAGGTGACCGCGGATGTGAAGGGCGAGATTTTGGATCTTAAGCTTACGATAAATGCGATGGTTGATCGGCTGAATCAGTTTGCGTTCGAGGTCAGCCGAGTCGCGCGCGAAGTAGGAACAGACGGCACGCTAGGTGGACAAGCGCAAGTCGAAAATGTCGAAGGTCGCTGGCGTGATTTGACGGATAACGTCAATACCATGGCGCAAAACCTAACTCTGCAAGTCCGACAAATCTCCAACGTGACCCAGGCCATCGCGCGCGGCGATCTTAGTACCAAAATCGAGGTTCACGCCCAGGGTGAGATCTTGACTCTCAAAGAAACGATCAATAGCATGATGGACGGGTTAGGAGAATTTGCGGGGGAAGTCAAAGGCGTGGCGAGGGATGTGGGTGTCCGGGGTAAACTTGGTGGCCAGGCCAACGTTGCGGGATCTCATGGAATTTGGAGATCGATCAGTGAAGATGTCAACACGATGGCAGACAATCTGACCTCTCAGGTCCGTGCCTTTGGTGAGATCACCGAGGCGGCGATGAGTGGAGATTTCACAAAATTGATTACCGTGTCTGCCTCTGGAGAGATGGATGATTTGAAACAAAAGATCAACAAGATGATCTCGAGTCTCCGCGACAGTATTCAGCGCAATACCGCTGCGCGTGAGGCAGCAGAGCTGGCAAATCGGAGCAAGTCTGAATTTCTGGCTAACATGAGGTATGTTGATCGTTTTACCCGGTTTCATAGGATTTCCTTTTCTTTCGCTTGTGCTAACTACAATGTAGCCATGAGATCAGGACGCCCATGAATGGGATAATTGGGCTTTCGAGTCTGGCACTCGACACTGACGACCTCCAAGCTCCCGTGAGAGAGACTCTGAATATGGTACACAATCTTGCAATTAGTCTCTTGACTATCATTGACGACATCCTCGACATCTCCAAAATCGAGGCTAATCATATGATTATTGAGAAGACGCCATTCAGTCTTGGTGCAACAGTGTTCAGTGTGCTGAAAGCCCTCTCTGTGGAAACTAATGAGAAGGCCTTGGGTCTAGTCTACACAGTAGATGGAGAAGTACCAGATTATCTGATCGGAGACGCATATCGACTACGGCAGGTCATGTTAAACCTAGTCGGCAATGCTATCAAATTCACAGACCACGGCGAGATCAGAGTCATGGTAAAGCATGTACAGGACGACAAGTGCGCCTCAGATGAAACGACATTCCAGTTCTCAGTCTCAGACCCTGGAATCGGCATTGACGAAAGCAAACTTGCCTTGATCTTTGACAAGTTCCAGCAAGCTGATGGATCGATGACTCGTCGCTTTGGCGGGACCGGTTTAGGCCTCGCAATTTCGAAAAGGCTCGTTTCTCTCATGGGCGGTGACATCTGGGTAACCTCGCACATGGGAGAAGGCAGTACATTCTCATTTACATGCCGAGTGAAGCTAGCTCTGCCGCCGCCGAGCTTTGCGGACCAGCTTGCCCCCCACCGGGGTCAACGCGTTCTGTTCTTCGACCACGGTCTTGCGCGCAGCTTCCCAATAGCTACGGTACTCATTGAGCTCGGAATAGAGCCAGTCATTGTGACAGAGGAGCAGCTAGAATGCGGCCAGTTCAAAAGTGATTGGGTCTGCACTTTCGACGCAATCCTCATCGAAAACTTGGAGATCGCCGCAAAACTCCGAGCCTGCCCGGACCTCCAACCTATTCCACTAGTCATTACAGCTCATACTGTATCCCTAGCGCTCAGAGCTGCCGGTGAACTCGGCATAGCATCCTACATCACAGTGCCCTGCCGACCCATTGATCTATGGAATGGCATTCTTCCTGCCCTCGGCAACCGCCCAACCCGGACCCCATCAGGCTACACACGGTCGTTATCAATTCTTTTAGCGGAGGACAATGACGTGAACCAAAAGGTTGCCGTCCGAATTCTTGAGAAATTCAATCACGAGGTAACAGTCGTGGAAAATGGCCTCCAAGCTGTGCAAGAGGTCAAACACCACCGCTACGATGTGGTTCTCATGGACGTCCAGATGCCCGTTATGGGTGGGTTTGAGGCCACAGGGAATATCAGACACTATGAAAAGCTCAATGGGCTTCCTCGTACGCCGATTATTGCTCTCACTGCACACGCTATGCTTGGGGATCGAGATAAGTGCATACAGGCCGGTATGGACGATTATTTGTCCAAGCCATTGGACTCTAGTCGCATGGTGCAGACTATCCTGAAGTGCTCAGCTATGAATCTTGCCCCGCTGCCTGTTATTGAGGGCTAAAGGCCACTGGGTTCACTGCCTCATTGACTCCGCCTCTTCATTTCCCCTCTCTCCAACCCTTTTTTTTACTGTCTATAAGCCTTTTATGGCTGCCCAGTCGAGTCCATTTCCTCCGAATGAGCTCGGAGTCTCATTTCTTCCAAACCTCCAAGAGGACTAATGTCCTAACCTCAGGGAATTCCCCTCCTCATTCTCGCAATCTGTACACATATCGATTGCTTATGCGCCCCAACATTTTGCGGTGGAAGCGCAGACCTTTTGAACTTCTATTCTTTTGAAATACCCCATCGTGTTGGACACTCTGTTAACGGTTTTCTTTCAAGGTGATCAAATTCTGTCTCTGTTCATGGTGTTTGGTTGGCACGCGAGATGAATACATTTAAATCATGTCTAATGACTACCGTGGTATGCCCTGTCTGTTATCTTCGCCCTTATTTATGCATCTCCTTCAGTACACGAACATATATATATGTTGCGAATTTAGAAACAAAATATTCTGAAGACCGTTTCTCTCTCTTGTTGCTATGGTCAGAAATCAACCTGTACGTTGCTATACTATGCGTATGCCCAAGATATAAAAGGGTATCAAATAGGCACCGAAAACACAAAATCATACAAAGAACATACAAACTAAACCTCCCCAGGGCGTCTCCGATCAAATCCAGAATTTATCTCATACTTCCCCTTCTTATTTCCCTTCCCCGCAGAAATCCGATCCCCCTGCCACCGCCGCCAGATATCCTCATCACGCTGCATATTCCGCCTCCCATAACCCAGATACTCATCGAAGCGTTTCCTAAGCCCAGAGTCCTCAGGCACGACATGAATAGGTATTCTACCTGTAGCGGAACCCCATAAGAATGATTTAATCGGATGC